GCAACAATAGATGACAAAATAAGAAACCTAGCTAGATTGGCCTTAAAAAGCAGTCCCATATTGATATCAATACAGGATCAGGTTCAGACTACAGTAGTGGGGCTACAACAAGGGTATGTTATCTATAGAAATAAATAAAATTGCAGTGTCTGTTTGTAATGTCAAAATAACAGCTTTTTACTAAATGCATATGAAAGTATATACAGTAGTTACAAAAAACAAGTTTTTAAAGTTTTGTCTCTCTGTCTGTCTGTCTGTTTGTTCAGGCTAATCTCCTAAATGGTTGAACCGATTTTGACGGGACTTTCACTGGTAGATAGCTGATGTTATATGGAGTAACTTAGGCTACTTTTATTTTAGAAAAATAATTAGGGTTCCGCGAAAAAAAAAACTAAAACGCATGAAATCTAATTGTAATAAATTCCACGCGTGTGAAGTCGCGGGGAACAGCTAGTAAGTATCATAAAAACAAAGGTTTTGAGAAACAGCTAGGTGACATGTGGTTGTTCTTTAAAAGTCAACCTCATTTTCACACTGATTCAAATGCCAAATTGACAGAAAAAAAAAAACAATTTAAAATGCCAGACCTAATTCTTAAACTCAGTGTTCATAAAACCCACTAGCCAGTGTGGTATGGACATATCTTTTTATGTAGTATGTCCTTAGTTATAGCAGCTGGAAAAGATAACCAACCGTAAAATGAAAATATTATAACAAGAAGAAAAGCAACACAAACTGTAATAACTGTATAATATGGCCTTTGATATAATAGGACAAATTAGTTGTATTTTCCCCCTGGAATTAGATTTGGTGGATGGGAATGTAACTATCTGATATAATTTAACAATAAATAAATATTTTTAGGTACTTTATTTGTCCAATTGAAGAAAGAATTATTTGGCTTCACAAAATGCTTAAAAAATGTAAAAAACTTAAGGTCATGGTATTCTTTTCATCATGTAAATCAGTGGACTTTCATTATGAATTTTTTAAAACACATTGCAAAGCACCAGTTATATGTATACATGTAAGTAATCACAATAAAATTTAATTGTATAATTTTATAATAAAACACCATGTAGTGTAGCGGTTAATTACTGTGTAGTGGCAGTGTAAAAATATCCACTATCCTATATCATCCCGTGGGTGTCGTAAGAGGCGACAGAGGGAAACAAATAAGAAGATGGACGGCGTTCTCTTCAATTGTAATGATCTTCATTCATCTTCTTCATCAGCCCATAAAAGTCCACCGCTAGACATTGTCCTTACCCTTTGTAAATACTAGGAACAGACACAAGCTAGTAGTACCAGTTACTCGACTCCATCGAGTCAATAATTCATTCTTGGGCCTTGTATACGCATTTACAACAAAATTCCAGAAAATATACAAAATTTGACCTGCTCAAAGTTCAAAAAATCTATGAAAGTAAGTTTGTATAAAAAGAGTTATTATAGTATTAAAGAATTTATGGATGATAATAACCCCTGGAAATGAGGTGATCGCTACCAAGCTATTTCTAATTTGATGTGTTGTTAATTTGTGTAACATACATGATTGTAAGCTGTTATTTTAAAAAAAAGGCCCGCTGGGTTTCTTGCTGGTTTTCCCAGGACAGAGGTTTTCTTTTTGAACCAGTGGTAACTAAACAAAAGAGTGACTTTCAATAAGTATTATTTATAACCTATATTGAATAAAAAAGTTTCTGTTTCTGTAGGGAGGATTTTGTTTATCATCATGCTTTACAAGTAGATTATTGATAGCAGTACTAGACGTGTCGCATCTTTTACGTTGCGCCCCGTCACCGGTCTAAATATTTTACGCCTGATGTTACGGAGTTATTCCGCCATGTATATTAAGTCGTAATGTTCTTCTGGCATTACCCATAGACACTTCTTACAGTACCTACTGGATGGTATGGATGGTAATTGGAATTGTAATGGTGGCACAAAAAATCATCGCTTTTGCCACCAATAGCTGATTCTGTGCAGTAAAATGTTTTAAAAAAGAAGGCATCATTCACATTATGTAACAATAGTACTGATTATCTTTTAAGGGTAAACTAAGTCAATCTAAAAGAAAAGAAGCATATAGAAGTTTTGTTGATGCACAACAGGGTGCACTTTTTTGTACTGACGTAGCAGCCAGGGGTTTGGATATACCCAGTGTTGATTGGATTGTGCAATATGATCCTCCTACAGATGTTAAGGTAAGTTAAAATATTATTACACTCCTACTAATAAATATAATATGATTAACTTTTTAATTCTTAACACATTCTTATGATTTATAACCAACTTAAAAAAGGAGGTTCTCAAATTGACCGTATTTTTTTATGTGTGTTACCTCAAAATTTGTTTCTAGGTGACCTGATTTTGATCATTCTTTTTTGTTTGAAAGCTGGTGCTTCTCATGTAGTCCCATATAAATTTGATCAATATCTGACCTGTAGTTTTTTTAAGTTATCCTTAATAATACGTACCTATTTAATTGACATCGACTACATTGATGCTGTTCTCATTTTTAGTGATTGAAATCAGTTTTACATTTTAACAAGAGTTAATTATTTAAATTAATATATTATTCATTAAAATTTATTTTCCACAGTCCCAAAAGCTAATGTGTTTCAATATTTTAGGAATATATCCACAGAGTTGGCCGTACTGCAAGAGGCATGAATACAACAGGCAATGCTGTAATATTATTAAGGCCGGAGGAAGAAGAATTTGTTAATTTTCTAAAGACAAAAAAAGTGTATTTGGACAAATATAATTTTGAAAAACCCTCCATGGATGTACTGGAAATGGTATTCCACTTATCAAAATTGCATTGCTCCTTCCGTTTAATTGTTCTGATTCTAATAGTGTTTTAATTTTTCAGTTACAAGATTTGATAACTAACAATGGTGTAATGAAAATTCTAGCAAGAAAAGCATTCCTATCTTTTTTAAGATGTTATAAGAAACATCCTTTGCATAAATTTTTTGACATTAATAAATTGGACTTAAAGTTGGCGGCAAAAGGTTTTGGATTTTTGGAAACACCTCATGTTGATTTTTGTATCCTTTTATTTATATCATTTAAGTATAATGATGTACGGTGACGGCGTAAGAGAATTGATTGCCAGTTTCTTTCTTGGGTAGTTCTTTTGAGTATATATATAGTTACAATGGTTCGTAACAGCCGACTTCAATATAACGAAGTGAAGGCTCCAGAACTTTTGACAATTTTTTTGTTAAGATAGTGAAGTTCTGTCCGATATTGGGAAGTTCGGACAGCTGTAAGTAGGTATAATTGTTGGCATCACAAGCATGTGAGTAATCAGCCTGTAAAAGTCCACTGGACATGGATAACTCATATTGTAGGGGGAGTAACAATCTATGAGCATATTCTGATGATATCCCCTGGAAGTTATATTAGTAGTATAGTTGTAGCACGAATGGGTCGGCTAGACCGGGGCAGGACCACGCTCTCACAGGATACCAGCGTAAAATAGCAGCTTAAAACTGCTGTGTTTCGTATGGTGAGTGTAGAGAACCGGAGACCCTTTTTACTGGAGAAGAGGCATTCTATCTTAGTCCTCACGGGTGACAACGCATCTGCATTTTGATTCGCAAGCGAGGACAGATGTAGATGTCTATGGGCCACAGCAACCACTTACCACCAGGTGGACTGTGTGCTCGTTTGTCACCCTATCCTATAAAAAAGTCTCAGACGAATATGAATTACTCTCCAGCATTATGGCAAAACTTTGAATAATAAGAAAATTACAGCGATACTGCTTGAAGCAGGAAGATAGCTTGTAGAAGCCGCTTGATTTCGTTCTAAACGGCGTTACGTGTAGTAGAAGAATCAGAAGTAAGATCTTATTCTTAAAAAAACGCTCGTTAGTCAATTGCTTTCGCATATTCATTTTCGCATATCTTATGCTGTGATCGCAAATCCGCTTGTCAAGCTTGACAATTTCGTTAAATCATTCCTATTATGAGAGGCCCGTAAATAGCAGTGGACTTACGGTTGAGATTAATGTGTTTGAATGTGTTGGATTCAGAACTTGTATTTTGTCTATTTCTAGCTTAGGCCTATTCAACTAAAGATAATTAGAAAAATGCTTTATTAATGCATATATCATGTCATTTCCATAACTCAACTTCTACAGTAAATAACAAGAAGAACTGACTATTTTAGGATAAGATACCAATTTAAAAAACTGTGATAACCGTTACTATTGTATTTGATTTTTTAAGTAAGTACAATGTGTCATGTTTTTTATTCTTTGTTTATTCTTTCCTTCTTTTCTGCCGACTTCCAAAAAGGAGACGGTACTCAATTCGACGCGTATGTTTTTTTTTATGTGTGTTACCTTATAACTTTGTACTGTGTGAACCGATTTCGATGATTCTTTTTTTATATGAAAGCTGATACTTCTCGTGTGGTCCCATATGAATTTGATCAAGGTCAGACCAATAGTTTTTGAGTTATTTTAGTTATTCTTAATAACTTATATTGAAATCGGCTGTACAAAATTTTTAATTTTAAATTATGTAAGAGATTTTTTTCTAAAAAAAAATTATTTTTTAGTTTTAAAATATTGAACAATATACAGTGAGTTTTCTCTATTACTCATTTAATAAAATTTTGAGTTTAGGCAAACTCAAGATTAGATAGACTAGACACATTGATACCGGGTGTCCGGTGGCAGATTTCTGGTTTTAATAGCAAGTATCTCGAAAAGTTATAAACGGTGCGAAGTAGGGCGGTCCTATTCGACACTCCGAGAGTGCGGATTGTCAGTTTGTCAGTCACAATGCCGCAATGATCGGGACAACACCGAGTCTTAGATTATTTACTCTCTAGATAGAGTAACGGCGGCTCAAAAGCGTCGAAAAAAATATCAGCTAACTGTTAGCCTCTAAAGCAATCCCCACTCCTCATTGTCAATTGTAACGCCAAGAGATACGCATGCACGGCTCATTGTTTTGAGGTAAATTATTTTGGTAAAAATGACAAGTTGCGCGATCAAAATCTGCAGAAATTACAAAGGACGTTTACAAACAATTAACAAAATCTCCTACCATCGGTAAGTAACTCAAAACTAATAGTAATTTACGAAAACAAAACTAATAAATTGATAATTATATTTACAAAATCAACGCGTCATTTTTTGGTGTTGCCAGTCTTGGATTGCGAATTTCCCCATATAGTTGTCTTAAGAGCTGATGTATGTTCATTTTTACCGACTTCATCAAAAGGAGGAAATAAATCATGTTGCGTGTATGTATGTGTATGTGGGTACATTTCAAAAATTGTTTGACTGAGCCTACAGCCTAAATGGATGGACCGATTGTTTTTTTTTGCAAGATTCCGCGCATTCGGGTGTTTTTATTTAGTCTTAAACATTTTTTCTTTATTTTTTCCCTTTTTTATTTGTATTACTAAATAGTATTTTATAATAATTATCAAAATCGAATGTGACTATTTGGATACATGGTTTTAGGATACCTATCGATCCTATAATTAGAAGTCGATGGGTGGACATAATAAGAAAAAGCCGTGGAGAAGAGTTCTGGAAACCATCCAAAACCACAGTGATATGTTCTGAACATTTCCGTGAAAAGGACTTGTATTTTGCAAATAATCAAGGCCGGCGAAGATTGAAAAAGGAAGCGGTACCGAAAAAAGTATGTTTTATTACGTACAAGCTGATGAAGACTATTATGATGATTTACATGTTTAACATTCTATTTTGACTACAGGCATTATTCTTATCATCAGTGAAATCTGACGAAAGTGATATCACTGATGAAGACGTTGAAATGACGATGGAATATAACACTGAAAAACAAAAGCCCATGAATTTGGTAAGTTTTTGTTATGATACCTACAGCAAATAATAAGGGAGCGTTATGCTAATCTGATTCATGTACAGGTAACGTTAATTTAACATTAATCCATAACAGTAACTATTCTTAGAAAATATTATTCCATTAAATATAATATTTTCTTTACTTGTTTATGCGCTCTTTAAAATCCGGAGAATTACTACTTGATTATCCAGACTAGCATTTTATATCGTTTTACTATTACTACTGCTACTATCGCTTCTTAAAGATCACAACATCGAAGCTATATACCTACTTTACTTTTGATTTCAGAATACTCCCGCATCAAATGAAGAGTCTAAAACTTCCTCCTCTATAGCATGCACCAATGTAGTGTGCACTGATACTTCGTCTCCTTCTATCAGTCGCGTAGCTCATAAAGTTTTGGCTAATAAAACAGCGAAATCTGAAAATGATATTGAAATAAATGAAGAGTTTTCAGATATAGATTCTATTTTTGACACTCCTAAAAAAGCAAAGTTGAGAAGAGAATTACGCAGAAAAATTCGTATCCAAAAGAAACATTCTCTAAAAATGCAATCGCTTAGAAGAAAAAATCTATGACTTAAGAAGAAACTTGCAACTTTCAAAGATATTCTTATTACGTTAAAAAAAGAGAGATACATAGACAATGATACGCATAACGTTCTAGATAGTAACGTATTTGCTGCTGACTTATATGCTACAATGAAAAAAAAGTTACAAAAAAAATCTAAGAGAGCTGTATCTAAATATGCACCAGAATTTAGAAAATTTTGTTTAACTTTACATTTTCTGTCACCAAATGCGTATAGATTCGTCAGGAGTAAATTTGAAACATGCCTTCCTCACCCGAAAACCATATCGAAATGGTATGCAAATATCGATGGTTCTCCAGGGTTTACAGAAGATTCGTTCAAAATTTTGGATGCTAAAAGAAAACAATCCGATAAAAATATGATTTGCGCATTAATAGCGGATGAAATGGCAATTAGACAGCAGAAGTGTTTTAATGATAAAACTAAACAGGATGATGGTATTGTTGATATAGGCACTGGTCCTAACGAAAATATGAGAATCAAAGCATCAGAGGCTTATGTTTTTTTGTTAGTATCATTAAATGAGCCTTGGAAATTACCAGTCGCTTATTTTTTAGTCCATGGAATGACGGGAGACCAAAAAGCAAATATTATAAAAACTATACTTACCAAATGTCACGAAGTAGGTGTTGATATTGTATCATTAACTTTTGATGGTCACTCCTCAAATATGTCGGCTATGAAGATCTTGGGTTGCGAATTGAATGACCATAGACGGCTGAAAACCACATTTCAACACCCATGCGCTGACTATAAAGTAGCAGTGTTTTTGGATTTCTGCCATATGCTGAAATTAATTCGAAATCATTTTCAATTGAAGGAAATCTTTTTGTACAAGAATGAGCAAATAATGTGGGAATATGTCAAAAAATTATCAAATCTCCAAGAAGAAATTGGGCTTCATCTAGCGAATCGTTTGACCAAAAACATATCGAATTTCGAAATTCTATAATGAATGTCAAATTGGCAACACAATTATTGAGCAGGAGTGTTTCTAAGGCAATACAATTTTGTCGACAAGAGCTGAAATTGTCTGGTTTTGAAGACAGCGAGGCGACAGAAAAATTCATAATGGCAATGAACAACGTTTTTGATGTTTTTAATTCCAGAAACTTACAAGCATATGGCTATAAACAGCCCTTGAGTCCAAAAAATAAAGATGAGTTATTTACAGTACTGGAAGAAGTAAATGATTTAATTTTGAACCTATATTTGAAAGTCTCGAGAAAAAGAATTTACACAGAACATGAAACAAAAAAGATAATAACTCTGAAGAGCTACACACCTGTACTGAAATCGAACTCTTTCACCGGATTTCTTGGAGTTCTAATTTGTATTAATAGTTTAAAAGCGTTATATACAACGGTAATAGAATCACATAAAATGCAGTAATTATCCACATATCGCATCAGCCAAGACCACATCGAATTATTTTTTGGAGCGATACGTATGCATGGTGGTTATAACGATAATCCAAATGCCCGACAATTGAAAGGTATATACAGAAAACTTTTGTGTCACATGGAGCTTAAATCTGCTGGTTCAGGAAATTGTGTGCCGCTAGAGAACATAAGTGTTTTGACGTGCTCTTCGGCACTCAAATGTATTAATTTAACTACTCCAGCAACACGAAAAGATGATGAAGATGAGAGTGAAACGGCAGAAGAAAATATTTTGGATGAAAACGGAGGAAATGTATCTCGATTTTTAGATGATTCTTCATTATCTGAATATACACAACAGATAGTTGGTTACATTTCAGGTTGTGTTGTGAGATGTCTGCGTAGACAAATCAAATGTACTGCATGCATTGAATGTTTGTTTTCAAATGAAAAGCATGAATACCATAAGCTAGTTAGCGCACGGGATGAAGGCGGGTTGATTTATGCTTCAAGGGATGTATATTCTATATGTAAGACTTCGGAGACAGTAATGCGAAAGTTTCTTAGACAACATTTTATAATGACTAGGTCAACTTACACAAACATTTTATCTTGTATATTAAAACAATTTATTGGTCATAAAAATATTTATTTTAAAGTTGAAACTGAACATGCGTGTGGTTCTCTTCACCAAGTGAACCTAATAAGACTGGTCGCCGAAAAATATTTGACCATACGCTGCTATCATATAGCTAAATTAGATAATGTAAAAAGTGATGCAACCTCAAAACGTAAATTATTTAAAAAACTAATTCAAAGAGAGGGCCATTAAATTAGTAATTACAAACATTTAATTGTAAATAATGATAAGTTGAAAATAGAAGAGACTACTGTGTTCCTCGGGGTGACCTTAGATGAAAAGCTTCAATGGGACACCCATATATCAGCTCTTGCTGGCACAACAATGCAGGACGGAATAATTCTTCTTAAAAGGATCTACTAAACTGTAGAAACGCTATGGGATAAATTTTTACGGTAAGGGTACCTGCGGGATAAATTATTTAACTATGATGCAGGCGAAGCCGCCGGCCAACCTCTAATATTTTTATAAGTCGATACCATATATTAAATAATAAAACATATTTTGTAAATGCGTAATTGATTTTTATTTGATTATATTTTTCTTTACAAAGAAAATTAGATTCTAACTCAACAGACAAGTAAACACACAATTGAAAGCACCATATTAAAATATTATAATTTATGATCTTATTAAAATGACAATTTTACAGTTTTTCCCCATTTTATCGGGTTACATTCATTAGCTGGTATCTCCCAGATACAAATGACGCTGGTGTAAGTCATAGTTATTTATTCCGTCATCATAGCAACCGCTAAGCGTGTTGCGTGCTTCACGCACACACGCTTGTAAAAACTGGCCTGTTTTTGTTGCATCGCTCATTGCGTGATGCGTTATCTAGAGAGTAAATAATCTAAGCACCGAGTTTACGCCATTAAGGCGTTTTTTAAGAGTGGTGATTCTGACGTGACAGCGCGTCGGCAATTTTGATTACATTACAATATTCTGCGTTCGAATGACGCACCAAGTGTTATTTTATTACGGTCGTGGGTGGAGAGGTTCCGCCAAGAACAACAGAAAACATTGAGGAAGTTGAAAGAAATTGGCGTGAAAATCCACGACTCTCAGTGAGATAAAGAGCGGCCGTTTTAGCACTCCTAATAGTATTGTTCACGAAATTTTGAACAGACTTGAAGTTCCATCCTTTTAAGATTAAATTAGTCCAAGAACTGAAGGAAAATTTTCTGTGAACAGATGTTGGGCAGATTTCGCATTGTAAACTGCATCTTTTGGATGAATTTGGAGGTCCACTTTCATTTAAATATACACGTAAACAAACAAAACTGTCGTTACTGGGCACCACAAACAATGCTAGTTTAAAACACCAATACATTGTCCAAAAGTTAGTTTGGTGTGCATTATAGACGGCAATAAACGTCAACAGTGAAAACTAGGGACTCATGACCAACGAGTATTTTTTATCAAATTTTTGAGCACATCATTTTCCTACTCGACGCATACGTGGTTTCAACAAGATGGGGTGACTCCACATATAGCTAGGGTGTCTATAGATTTGCTCCGGAAATTTTTTCCATAAAAATTGATTAGTCCTATCTTAGGAATCGGTCACAGTTGGACCCTAATTTAATTATTCCGGCTAAACTGAACGCGCTAGACCAGTCTGGAATCCGGGGTACAAGTGTCACTCGAACCGACTGGAAAATATTCAGAAAAGGTTTCTGTATCATTTATCGTATGCAAATAACCAATGCTCAAATAACAAATTCTCATCTCAATTTAAAAAAAAAAGTTACCCCACACTAGGATTTTCTCCTGTGTCGTGGAGGCAGTTTACAAACATAAATTGCACAAGGACAAACATCCAGACCCGGAACAATTATTTGTAGGCCATACAAATACTTGTTCCGTGCGGGATTCGAACCCGCGGCCCCAAGCGCAACAACTGATTGCTAAGTCACTGCGCCACGTAGCCGTCAAATGAGAATAGACTGGCACACTACGAATAAGAATTGCTATCCAAGCGGCGGGAATCATCTGATATCATGTTCCTCTATAAATTATTCATGGTCTCATCAACTGTCCGGACATTTTAAATCATTTAGATGTGTCGGTCCCTAGAGCTGGCAGTCGCTTGGGCCGCAAACAGACTTTTGTCACGCCACACTGTAAAACAGTGGCGGGTCATCACTCGCCATTGTACAGAATGACTAATAATTATAATAATATTCGTGATTTGTTCGACATCTTTCATGGTTCTAAGGCCTCAGCAAGGGCTAACATTAGATTAGCTATTAATTAATTAATATTTATTACTTGAGTTTTTTCGTTTCTTAATTTGTATTTGTTAACATGTCCACTTCTTGCATGCTGTGTTCACTGTTATTAGAATGAACGTTTGTTTGTTACTTTTTTACGTTACCTGAACCATGTAAAAACGTTACACTCCATTTGTGAACCAAATAAAAAAAAATCAGTCGCCTTTGCAGACATCCCGTGGCCACCGAGGTCGCCAGATTTAACCCCTGTGGATTTCTTTTTATGTGGAAATCTTAAAGTACGCCAATTACCCTCGGGCTATCACACAGTTGAAGGAAAATATTCGCAATGAAATACAGCAAATTCAGCCGAGCCTGCTACAGCGCTCGGGACGTAACATGGTGGAACGTTTCCAACAGTGTATGCGACTAAACGGACGGCATTTGGACGAAATTATTTTTAAAAACTAAAACCAGCATCATTCTTGTTTACTTTAAACTATTTAATAAACCCATAAGTTATTGTTTTATTAGCTTTTTAAATCATACTCGTAAATACGCCACTGGACACACTGTATATTCTGGTCACTATTAATGCATCTTTAAACAATGATAAAGAAAAAGAAAAACACTTTCCCGTCATTTTCAATTGTTTTTCTGTCCGCCAAAATTAATGAATCTAACGAAGAAATTTGTTACCACATAGCCGAAGAATTGAGGATTGACCACAAAACAGTTTTGACCCATT